TAATTCAAAACTGAATATGAAAATTTATTTTCATTTTGGATAGATACACTTAAAATAAAAAAGAAAAAAAAAATCAAAACCCAGCACTGGGCTCGCGTGACTCGGCGGAACCCATATCGGGTTCACTGCATCCCCCGCGGAACCCAGTGCTGGGTTCTCCCACGGAACCCAATGCTAAGTTTTGAGAGGAACCCAGATGGGTTCCACGAGGAGCTCTAGTTTCCTCATGAACCCAGTGCTCGGTTTCATGAGGAACCCAAATCTGGGTTCCTTGAACCCAGCACTGGGTTCCACGAGGAACCCAAGATGATGAAGATGATTTCGAAGAAGAAGAGGAGGGTAAGGATGAGAAAGAAAAGAGGAAGAAGATGATGAAAAAATTAAAATTAATTATGTTTAATTCATAAATTAATAAAATAAAAATTTTAATTTATATAAGTGACACAAAATATTCGAATAAAGTGCTTATATATATTTATAATTTTGTCCACATCATTTATAATTGTCCACGATTTTCATGTCATTTATAATATTGTTTAAATAAAAAAAATGAAATAATTTCGTCAATCTTTTCCACACAGGTCAAATTCCATGTTCCTTTTTTTTTTTCACACGTAAGCATTTTAACACTGTGGAATAGCCATGTCACACTCTGAAATTGCCATGTGAGATGTTTTTGTTAATTAACGTGACAGGTCAGCAAAATTTTAACGGAGTGACTAAAAAGGAGTCGGATTTTAAAATTTAGGGATCAAAAATGAGATTTTTTCGGTACAAGGATCAAAAAAAGGCTTTTCCCTAAAGTAGAGGGACCAAAAAGGGTATTTAACCATATAATAATACCAAATGAAAAAGCCAAAAAACCAACCTGATCTCCGATTAAGTCCAGTATGGCAAATGTCCATGTTCGAACGTTGTTTTCCCCGTTGAAATTTCATAAATATGTCTGCACACTTGTGCTAATGTATACAGAGTCGTTACAATTCCAATTGCCAACAAGTACCTGAAAAACCCACCAAAAATTTTTAACAAAATGCAGACTAATTAATTCAAAGTGAAAATTTCAATCTTTCCATTGGATTTTAAGTTAATTTACTGGTATTCCCCGTATCTGTCGAAATATTCGGAATATATGAAATTTTCGACATCACCGTGGTTGTCACTGGCCATGATTATAAAAGAAAGCAGAGAGAAGAGCAGAGCCAATCCCCTCAAAACAAGATGCACTTTCTTCATCAAATCATGTCTCTTCCGCCTCCGTTCGATCTCCGACCAATGGAATTCACCCTGGAGCTCGGCTTCTCCAAGTCCCGGTGGTTCCGCTGGTTTGTTTGCCGCGTTGCCTCTTCCGCGTTCGACATCCTAGAATCGAGATGACTGTGGAAGAGAAACGAATCTGGTCGAGTAATAAACGCAGAAGAAGGAGAAGGATCCAGCAGAGCGGAGAAAATTGTGGGAAGTTACCGTGGCGTTCAAGTTGGAACAAGAAATCGGCAATTGTTTTCTCCGCGAATGGAAGGTCAGCCTTGGTTTAATCGGCAATGCCACTTATATTTTACGCTCATTCCTTTCGAGTTACGACGCCGGTGTGATTTACATACCTAAAAAATTCTCTGCATATCATTTCCCATGTTAAAAATAAAGTAACATGATATCTACGTAAACATGTCATGTTAAAATGAAGTGACAT